GAACATACTCCTCCTCCTCAGACTCAGAAGGTGCCTCTGTATAGGAGGGCATCGAAGAAGACCCTCCTATTTCGGACACGGCCCGGAGTTTTTTGCCCCGGCTGCCTCTCCCCCCACCGTCTCCTCCTCTAGGGGCTCTCCCCCCCACCGCCTCCTCCTCTAGGAGTACTTCCGACGCCAGCAGGCGCAGCGGCTGGCATCGACGAACGGGGCCGGTAGTGGGCGGTGTCAAGAACAGCGACGGCTGCCGCATCTGATGGGGTGTTCCGGGCCGCACATTCCACGAGGTGCTGGCACACCTCGAGGGCGGCAATGACCCGCCGCTGGCGTACCCTGCGCGGCGGCCGTCCCGCCCCCACGCTGGAGCGCTGGGTCATGGGCGTCCAGGAGGTTCGGCTCCTTCTCCTCTTCCTCATCGCAGTCTTCCTCCCGCTCCTTCTCCCACTCTTCCGGCTCCCCGGTGCTGTTTGGCGTCAAGGCCGAGCCCGCCGCAGAGACGCCGCTCGGCCGACGCACCCGCAGCGCTGGCATCGTCATCAACAAGGACGGCAGGCGCGCCCCATCCTCGGCTCCTCCGCGCTACGCCAAGCCAAAGACGGAGCCGGGGCTCCCCGTCGTGAAGACGAAGCCCGGGCTCACCGGTGGCATCAAGGAGGAGGAGCTCGACGACGTGGCGGCCCTCAAATGGGCGCGCGATGACTGGGCGCAGCTGGAGCTGGGCCGCCAGCGCCTTGCCTACGAGCGCTTCGAGGCTCGACGCCATGGCCAGGATGAGGGAGGTGTCGTCGTCCTCGACGACAGCGACGACGACGCGCCGACGCCACCGGTCTGCCATGGAGACGTCGGGCAGGGGTCCAGCAGGGGCAACCGCGCCATCAAGAAGGAGAAGGCCGACGACAAGGATGGCGGCGACTTCGCCGCGCTGAGCGACTTCTTCGCCCCATAGTTGTTTTTTAATTAACTTATGTAATAACGCCGAACATGTCGAATATTATGTGAAGTTTGCCGAATTTAGCCGAACGTTTTGTCTAATTTGCCGAACTTTGCTGAATTCAGTTTTTTTCAAAAAAAAACCACGTCTAGGGACGACCCTAGGGCGAGCGGCTGGGAACCCGCTCGCCCCGGCGCCAATTTTAGCGTCGGCTTGCCCCAAAGGGACGCGTAAATTCGCTACCTAGGGGGTCAACGGCTAGAGATGCTCTAAACTCTCTTGAAGGAATTAGGAATTCAAGTTCCTTCAGCAGCAAGGTTATGGCAGGATAATATTGGAGCGCTAACTGTCTGACAATCCTGTGTTTCATGCCAAAACGAAACACATAGAAGTGGGTCACTATTTTGTTAATGTTAGAATAAATCGAGGTATACTTTCAATCATCCGAGGACCAAGCAATTAAACGAGCACGACATCAAAATTTGTTAACGAGGTTCACCGATATGGCTACATCCCCGGGGCTTGACTACGGTCGCTCCTCCCCGTGACACCATCACAATACCACACACCGGCCACCCGGGCGCCGGCACACGCCGTCGGCTCCCCCTTGCGCGCCTCTGCTATTATGTTGGCATAGGTTACATCGTGTGTCAACCCCACTATATATGAGAGGCCTAGGATACAAGTGTCCTATTAAGACATGACTCCACATCCTATGTAAACACAATACAACTTCCAGTTCAACTGTAACCTACCCTGTAGACAATCCTCTTCAAGAATTCATCCGATTAACCAGTTAACTTGCCGATTAATCCCTACTTATACGGTCCCCGAGTAGCCGATTACTCGATAAATCGTCCGATTAATTGATTAAATGGCCGATTAACTTGCCGATTAGCCTATTAATCCCCTACTCACCAGCCCACCGAGCAGCTACATAATATTCGACACAACTCTAACAAACTCCACCTTGACGAATATTTTCCACCACCTTGAATTCGTCAATGCGTCAAACTTCCATGTATATTGGGCTTGAGCTTATCCCATGAGCACCGTTGCTACTTCAAAGACTTCATATGACTCCACTTGCAACTTGTAGTCTCTTCTTTTCTTGACCACTGTCAACACTCGAGCAAAATTAAGTTCCATGTTACTCTAGTTTGCGCTCCCAACTTTCAGAGTATCAGTCCAACGCCATCACACACTGATCACTGGCCTGCGTGAAATTGAACAACTCACATATTGGGTGTCACACATAAGTGTTACCTGAACTCAACATCACCGCTCCTTTCTTGACCGCCTGTCTGAAACTAGAAGAAATTTCACCACTGCTTGTAGTCATCCCGAGTCAAATTCGCAGTTGTCTCACCACATGTATGACCACCAGAACCCTGGCCCGTCTCCATGTCCCGTGCGTACCGCACGCCTCGCCGCTATTACCGCGTCGAGCCTCCACTGTCCTGATTGAGTCTCAAGGGTCGCAAACCCACACCACTCAACCCCCACTGCAGAGTACCACCGATCAACATGACTTCATGGTGGTTGTACGTGCCACCCCGCGCCCCGTCGACTCCAAGCTCTTGTGTGCACCGTCTTGAATCAACCTTGCGCCATAGCCTTGTCGAAGCCACACAAGCCCTCTGGACCTGCGCCACGTGTTTCCACGCCCAGAAGTCGGTCACCATCGGCATCACGCTTCCTATGTCGTCGTCGCCGATCCAACCACCGTCTTTTGTACCAACCGACCTGCGTCGATCCGTCAGACTGACAAGGCTGACCCAGCCGAACTTTCCTGACTGCAACCATCTGCAACTCCTCATAGTCCATCTTACTGGCTTGACTTTTCGTAACCCCTTCAAGCATCCCTGTTGTGCCAACAAATTTTCACACTTGTCTGCCGTAACCCAAGGTTTTCAGTTCCGCGAAACTTCTTCACCTCAAACATAGTATCCGTTGTTTCCATGGTTCTTTGTACGGCTAACCCGGAAAAAATATCCAAGCATTCTTCCTGTGACGCCCCAAGTACACAAATCGTATACTAGTAGTAGCAAATCCGATGATAGCTTCTGGTCTTCACGTGAAGTCGCTCTTTGGACACAACTTTTCAATGCTAGGTTTGCTTGCCCAAGTCCTTGCCTTTCAACAATGGATGTATTCCTTTTGAAGTCTGCCATGATGTTGCATGCCCGCGTCTCGGCCACGAGGAGCACGCCTCTCCTCCAGGGACTCGGTCCCTTTTTGTTTTCAAAACAAATCCCTGTCCATACGTACAACCCTGCCTCGCGCTTAGGCTTGGTGCGTCCAGTCCCGCCTGGGCCAGCCTGCCCGGACCGCTCCAGCCCAACATGGGCGTTGCCCGACCAGCGCCAGCGCCCCGTCTGGCCTCCGCGTGGCCTGCCACGCTACGCACGCCAGCCGCCTGTGCTGGGTTTGCCGCCGCCCGTACGCTGCCGATCGATCCCATCTCGACCGAACTCGAACAAATAGAGGATTTCCGCTGTACGCTGCATGCTGCACGTCTTGACTGCTTTCTTGGATTTGACGACGTCTCCGGATCACTTCCGTCCGCTGTGACGATGATCATGACATCAAATCTTCCTCCTTTAGATTAAAGCCTCAAACTTAGCTCATGATACCACTTGTTAGAATAAACTCAAGGCATACCGTTGATCATCTGAGAACCAAGCAATCAAACGAGCACGACACCGAAATTTGTTAACGAGGTTCACCGATATGGCTACATCCCTGGGGCTTGACTACGGGCGCTCTTACCCGTAACACCATCACAATACCGCACACCGGCCACCCGGGCGCCGGCACACGCCGCCGGCTCTCCCTTGCGCGTCTGTGCTATTATGTTGGCATAGGTTACATCGTGTGTCTACCCCCACTATATATGAGAGGCCTAGGATACAGGTGTCCTATTAAGACACGACTCCACATCCTATGTAAACACAATACAACTCCTAGTCCAACTGTAACCTAGTACCTTGTACACAATATTCGACACAACTCTAACAGTTAGAGAAAGAGTTGCACGCAAGGTACTTATATTATATTTATTCCTGTAGAGGATCAAATTGTTGATGGATTTACTAGATTGAAGCATTCAATTGCAATCTTAACCTCATTGTTTTCCTTGGTTGTGATAGGATCATAGGCTAGACCTGATTGTAACAAACTTGTATTCTGCGATTATCTAGGAGGGTCTGAAGAGGCATTAGAGATAGAGATGTAATCTGGTTAAGCTACTTTCCTTGCCTCTCAAGGCCTATCTGAAAAGCCGATCCAATGTAGCCTCCTACACATATTAGGTGACTACAGTGTCCAGTTCAGGCGTTGACAACAGTGGAACTCTGCTACTTCCCCTCGCGCTCTATGTGTTTTCCTTGCTGCATGATGGTGGTTAAGCTACTTTCCTTGCCTCTCAAGGCCTATCTGAAAAGCCGATCCAATGTAGCCTCCTACACATATTAGGTGACTACAGTGTCCAGTTCAGGCGTTGGCAACAGTGGAACTCTGCTACTTCCCCTCGCGCTCTGTGTGTTTTACTTGCTGCATGATGGTGGTTAAGCTACTTTCCTTGCCTCTCAAGGCCTATCTGAAAAGCCGATCCAATGTAGCCTCCTACACATATTAGGTGACTACAGCGTCCAGTTCAGGCGTTGGCAACAGTGGAACTCTGCTACTTACCCTCGCTCTCTGTGTGTTTTACTTGCTGCATGATGGTGGAAAGCAGCAATGGAGAGAGAGAGAGAGAGAGAGAGAGATGCGACAGACCTGTGGTAAATTTGAACTAAATTGTAATTTACATTTGATCTTTGTGCTCTAGGACTACAACAGCAGGCAAAAAGGCGCAGACTGCGGTTACATACACTGCACGTAGATCAGCAGCAGTCTGCGTTCATTTGCCCGACAGTAAGTTTACAACCGTGTCCAGCCACCAGAATTTGCCACCCCGTGTTCTATCCGTGTGTACAACTTGAACGGAGGGGGTGGCTGGTCGTGGGAGCATATCAATTAGCCAGCTTGACTGAGGGGAGGAGTCACAAGGGCGAAATAGTTCACGTTATTCCAGGATATCCGTTGGCCATAGCTGCTTCCACTTTGAGATTTCATCCTTGTCTTGGAGCTTCCTTATTCCACCGTAGAATCCGTCACTCTCGTTGCCTTCTTCCCTGTGGTCCTTCCGATTCACCAGGGACTGCCTCCATCTTGAGCCAGGCGTGTATTGATTGAACTCCAGCACCACAGTGTCTGCAATAATATATCGGCACAAGAGTTTGTATCTTCAGAGATCTACTTCCATTCCGCTTAACAGTACCAATGTTTATGTTTATGCTAGTCATCGCAGAGTGACTTCTAACAACTAAGATACTTGACCTCAACATTCCACATGAATACCCCCCGGTTCAGGAATCAACCCCCTCCCGGTTTTGACTCGCTGAAGTGGTTTTGACCGCGTTGAATGCTGACTGGGCAGTGCCATGTCAGCAGGGTGTGCCAAATAAGCCATTAGGTCAAACGAGAACTTTTTTTGGTAAAAAAATGCAGAAATTAAAACTTTGATGAATCGCTCAATCTGTTCAGCCAAATATAGTGAAAACTGTCCCAGATTAGTCCACATGCTATGCTTGATGTTGTGTGAAATTTTCTGAAAACTTTTTTCTCGGTCAAAATTTTGTCCAAAAATTGCAGAAATCAAAATTTGATGAATCTACCAATCTGTTCGACAAATATGGTGAAAATTTCT